AATTTACATTGCAATGCTACAGAAAGGAGCAATACCAACTTGTGCGAAAGCATGACAACCTCTTGTTTTTGCCCCGAAAGGATTCCCTGCATGGTACAACCATAATCAAACTATTCAACACTTTTAGAAGCAGCTAAACACCCCTTTTGGCTATTCACAGGTGAGGCATCCATTACAACAGACAAAACATGTGCTATTTTTTAATATAGGTCAGTTAAAATAGGCTATTTTTGTGCTTTCATTAAATATAAGCTACAAGTCATGTCATTTTAATTATAGCCCATGGGTAAAAATACCTGTTACCTCTATTAAAATAAAATGATATTCGCTTTAGGGCTGCGTTATCTACTACTTGATATGCCACATATTTACAGTACAACTTGTACAAAGATATTCCCAAGGATGTGTCATTCTTCTGAACTAAAAATAACTGTACCATAAAGCTTCAAGATAACTCAGCAAGATCCTCAATTAAAGTTAATTTATAAGCCACATCTTGGATGACTTCTCTCTCTTTATAATTCTATTATCAATTTCTAAAAACTGACAACATCTGCAGCCAAGGTTGTTTAATGTAATTCTTCTTTATGTAAGTTCTTTAAGGTTTTTATGTAATTTCAATTTCATAACATTGATGTAAAACCAGGCTTCCTTAGATTAATACAAGAAAAGAAATATAAGAAATGAATATAGGAAAATATGAATGCGTAAAGATCTGAAATGCCACTCTGTGTTTGTCTTCGGCCAGCTATGCCTAAATTCAACTGAGTCATGTGCCAGTAAACCATGCAAATTTGCTCGCTCTTTATAAATAGCTCCAAATGCATTGCTGGATTCTGATTTTGGTAGGTCAGACTAGAGGAACAGTTCACCCAAAATTTGCTGAAAATGGATCCTCTTATGGATCCTCAGCGGTGAATGGGTGCCGTCAGAATGAGAGTCCAAACAGCTGATAAACACATCACAATAATCCACAAGTAATCCACACCACTCCAGTCCATCAGTTAACATCTTGTGAAGAGAAAAGCTGCGTCCGTGTCCTCTATCAATAATATTGCTTTCTCAAGTGAAAAAGTTGTCTTGTCTGAATCAGCAGAGAAATACGCACAGATCAAGCAGTTCTAAACAAATATGTGGGTGTATTTTGATGTGAGAGGACAACAGGGGATGGACTTTTTCACTGGAGGAAGCATTATTATGGATTATGGACCGGTATTTTCACCAGAAGCAACGGTTTAAAATTAAAACGTCTTAATGATGCATTTGTTTCTTATAAACGCACAGCTTTTCGCTTCACAAGATGTTAACTGATGGACTGGAGTGGTGTAGATTACTTGTGGATTATTGTGATTTTTATATCAGCTGTTTGGACTCTCATTCTGACGGCACCCATTCACTGCTGAAGATCCATTGGTGAGCAAGTGATGTAAATTTCTCCAAATCTGTTCCCATGAAGAAGCAAACTCATCTACATCTTGGATGACCTAAGAGTAAATTATTTTTCAGCAAATGTTCATATATTTTGGGGTAAACCATTCCTTTAACAAGGCCTCTGACCTTCTTTATATCAAGTGCCTTTTGATATATCAGCATAAAAGATTACGGAACAATTGTAAATTCCCAGTGTGGATTAAGAAGTCGGCAGTTCATCATGTTATCAGTAGCAAAGGACAATAAATGAATGAAATCAATTGACAGTATGTCTAATCCCTTTAGTCTTAATGACTCATGCCTTTGGAAACAGGTATCCACACAAATGGTTTCAGTATACAATCAGCATAGACATCACTTAGCAACATACCACACTTTACAGTCCAGTACTAAAACATATCTGGAAAACTGATCTTTAGATAAAGGAAAATGCTTTACAGTATTTAAAACAGCTGTATAGAGTCAAATTAGGTACTCATATTTAATTTGATACTATTCAGTATGTTTCTGTATAGTGTTATTTAAAATCAAATGTGCATGTGTAGTTTAGCAGGTTGTCTAGCTGGTTTCCAGCATTAAACTAAAAGACTATCAGGATTTGCGTGAGCTCGCAGTGTCTCAGAGATCAAAGTAATAGATTCTTATATGACTTAGTATCTTATCAAAGCATCATGTCCTCCTGGCTGAAAAACTATATGAGCTCAGTTTTATTTTCTGACATCTTACTCACGTTCATCATCACCAGATCCATTAATCGACTATGGAAAGAGAAAAATATAATTTATTTTTAATTTTTCTTATATTTAATGGCCCAAGACTGCAAATAATACATATAAACAGATAACCTAAAGTAAATAGACAGATAAAATAAAGCATGCTTAAATCATTTTTCTTGAAGCCTGAACATATAGACGTATTATTATAGAAGTATTCTTAATGCCTTGCAATACATGTAACAATGCATTATATCTTTTATATTTTGTACTAAATAATTGTATACAACACTTATGATTTCTGAAGGATCATGTGACACTGAAGACTGGAGTAATGATGCTAAAGCTCAGCTTTGAAATCACAGGAATAAATTATATTTTAAAATATTTTAAAATAGAAAACAGTTATTTTAAATAGTAAAAATATTTCAAAATGTTACTGTTTTTGCTGTATTTTGGATCAAATAAATGCAGGCTTGGTGAGCAGAAGAGAATTCTTCAAAAAACATTAAAAATCTTACTGTTCAAAAACGTTTGACTGGTAGTGTATGTTAGCCTATAGTTTGAAGTTAAAGATATTAATATTAATAAGGTGAGTCTGAGATGTTTATTTGACAGTGATTTCACATTTCTTGTTTGTATGAAGGTTAAATACAAATAAAAGGTGAACATTCCCTCCCCCCCCTAAAATATTATATAATTATATAGGAGTAGGTTTCATAGAGTTGGCAAATTAATTTTTCATAAGTTTGTAGGTACAGACATCTATTGTGGCCGTTCTTGGCAGTTTTTATGAGGCTTTTTTAATAGTGTTCATATCCATATCGGAATTATATCGTATCGACCGAAATTAAGAAATATATCGTGATATAAATTTAGGCCATATCGTCCAGCCCTATTTACTGTTATGAAAATATCCATAATTCTTAATGTTTTTATTGTTGTAGTCTAATAATTATTTAGTTATGTGTCAAAAGCAGAAATAAAACCAGCATATTGGTACGTATAAAAATGTAATCATTAAAATAATCGGTATCGGTCATTAAAATAATCATTGATTAATCTCTAAAAGTGGAGTATGAGGCGTTATGAATGTACTGAGAATATGTAAATATTCACCTTTCAAGTATATGCTAGCATACATTTGAGCACGGCTATATGACGTAAATGCCTACCCATTTTTAATAATAAGGCAACGATAAGAAGAAGAAGAAAGCCACCATACAGTAGGCACGGCAGCATCACCCACCTAAGAGCAGCAGCCGATGCGTCTGCTTATATTCCCGTTTGAGTTCCTTCAAGGCCCTGTCAATAGTCTTACTGACTTTCTTGGCCTCCTTCTCGGCCTCCTCCTCCGCCACCAGTTTGTCCCAGTTCTTGTGTTTCTGGGCGCTGCTGGGAGTCTGGAGCAGCTGCAGCCTCCTCTTTCCTCCTCCTCCTCCTCCGTTCTGGATGAGAGCTCTGTCCGCGTCGCCACGGCGGAGCTCCCCGGCCGGGATCTTGCCGGCGTCCCCGGCGCGTAAAGGGGAGGTGGATGATGTCTTCCCGCTGTTCCCCCTAGAGTCCTCGTCGTGCTGCCTGGAGCCCCGGACGCATGAAGGCATCATCATCATCATCCCGGGATCCGGAGGCTGGTAATCTGACTCCGAGTTGGTGTTGGAAATGGATCCACTGAGGTCCCCAAACAAGCGGGGACGCAGACTGTAACACAGCCCCATGATGTGGCCAGGCGCTCACTGCTGATATTTGATCATAAATACACAACAAACGCTCTATTGCCAGTGATTTAGCGCATCATCACATGAGCTGATAGCACACGGTGCATTTCCCAGCCATGCGTAATCCCAGAATGATGCTCTTGTATTTACAAAATGTCATTTTGTGTTTTCTTACAGTCCAACCTACACGCAATAGTCGGTGGATCACCTGACATCTGCCTGTGCTGACAGTGCAGGTCCACCTTACCGTAAAGAAACCAAAAGCCCAACCACACAAAACCAGTGGACACATATGGGGTCATCTAGGTGCGTTTTTGCTCATGTATTGGGTGATTTGTGCTTCTAAATCCCCGTTGAGGGTTCTGGACTATTTGAGCATGGAGACTGCCTTATACTCCTGAGACCCTACTCACTAATGAGACATTTAATGAGCACACCTGATGTATTCCGAGTGTGGAACAGTATAATAACAAACGTGAATCTCTAACAATGTGAATGTTACAAGTGATACGTTTCATTGTCTATAAGACGTAATAATAAAAATGAAACAAAAAGCTTCGAAAACCGCATTCTCGTTATTGTAAAGTTTTTTTTTTTTAGAAGATATGGAAGTACGTTTACTAAGAAAATACTAGTAGTCTTTCTACTTAAATACTGCACCTTTTAATAAATGTTACTTGCCGTTTCTTATTAGTGAAATTTAGCTATTTCTGAGTAAAATGTTCTAAACCATTTTCAGTGTGCACTTACAGCAGCATTTTTCATAACTGTAAAGAAAAAATACATTTAATCATTTAGCAGACGCTTTTATCCAAAGTGACTTACAAATGAGGGTAAATAATGAAAGTGTAACAGACTGTATTTTACATTTAATCATTCTACACTAAAAAAAATAAAATAAAATAATGGAGAAATAATTTCACTCAGACATTACAAGTACATTTCCCAGATAGGACTAATGACAAAGAAGCGACACGGAACACATTGAATTAAATGTATTTTTTTTTAAGTAAAAGACAAGAAAAGAAAGTTAAACATACTCCAGTTGTTTTATTTGCAACTTCAAACAATAATTTTTACAGTGTATTGTGACATTTTTAAAACGACGATTTACCAATATTGACGATGGTTACACGCATGTGATTTGTAGTGAGAATATGTTTTAATAAAAAAGTGTCAAATATGATACATCTTTATATGCTTTAAAAAGAACAATAATAATAAAAATACTGGTTTTATTTAAAGATTTTGGGGCCCTCTATAGGTCAAAGTAAATACATCTCAGTCTGTGACTAACAATACGCTGTATTAATGATGTCTTTGGTTATAAAACTTTTAGATAAGAGTTACAAATCTGTACCTGATATTACTAAATATTTTTGAGGAATTACCAATTACCCAAGATGGTGAATATGGATATCATCTGTAATGTGTAAATATGTAGCGTACATAAATCAACAACTATTTGAATCTCAATAAAGTAATACATTTTATTTGCTTTAATTTGTTCATCTAGTTATGAAGGCACTTCCATATGACCCTAAACTGAATTTTGTTGTCTTCTTCACACAACTTGTATGAAATGTCTATACATGTCAGTATATATATATATATCTGTGTCAGTGCATCTCAGCAGGATCTGCAAGTAGTTTCTGAATGGTGTCATCGTTTCTTCTTTTGTGAATTCTGTAGCACTTTCACACCAATCCTCAGGAACATCAACAAAGACAAAGAACAAAACATAATTCAACAACCAAAACAATGCATTTGTCCATGTTAATGTCAAGTATAGCATATGTAAATATTGTTTTTTTTTGTCTGTATATCAACATTATGGATATCTGGGAAGTCTTTTTGAATGAAAATTTTGGAAAAAAAAATCATACATAATATATAAATAACAAACAGCTAAAATAAAATATCCCTGCCTCGCTCCTGCCATGAGTCCAGCTGGCATAATCTTCCATGAACTCAAAAAATCTCACTCCCATTAGAGCAGTCAGTGATCCAGAGGTGCCTTCAAATATAAAATCAAATCCCATTAATGTCATCTATGATCCTTATTCATTTTAATACATTGTGTGTGTGTGTGTGTGTGTGTGTGTGTATATATATATATAAAATACTTCTAGAAACAGAGACTTACCCAGTGAAACCCAGATATCCTTGTCATACTTTGACATCTGATAAGCACCAACAAATGCTGCAATGCCAAACATCAGCCCAGCAACCAGAGATAAAAACTACCTGCAGCCGGAAGCGGGAACATGAGACATCTGGCCATATTAGGAAGTTCCGGTAAAGTTCAGGTAAAGGTGCGTTAACAACAAATTTGAGTTTCTGCTATAACAAAGTGCATTATAGTTTGCTGACAAAAAAAAAACTAAAATCATTAAAGTTGTACGCTCGCTACATCTTTACGGTTAAAATTTGCTAAAGAAAATCTGATTTTCATTCATTTGAATTTATACGGAATTATTTGAAACGTGTTTTACATACACTGGCTACTCAAAAACTAAACCAGAATACTAAACATAGTTGTTTGTCGCATGCATGAGATCTTTACCTGCTTTAACATAACCAACAACCCCTCCTATCGTTATTAGAGCTGCATAACCATAACCAAACCAGTCCACAGCCATATCTGCACGCATGTTTAACTCTCAAATAAAACAAAAAGACGTGTTGATTGCTAGTAAAAAGCTAAAGCATCTCCACTTTTTAACTTCCTGAAACACGGCACTAACGAGTTTCAAAATAAAAGTCCGCATGTGCAGGCGAGAACTGCAGAGGTTTTTCAGATTTAAATGGGTCATATGATGCGATTTCATTTTTTCCTTTCTCTTTGGAGTGTTACAAGCTCTTGGTGCATAAAGAAGATCTGTAAAGTTGCAAAGACTAAAGTCTCAAATCCAAAGAGATATTCTTTATAAAAGTTAAGAGTCAGCCACGCCTACCTAAAACGGCTCGTTCTAACACGCCCCCACATATCTACCTCACTATGTGGGAAGATTTGCATAACACCGCCCAAATGTTCACACAAAGAAAGAAGGCATAACTTTTATTCTCGCTGTAGTATTGTTGTTGCCGCTGCCGCCATGTCCTGAAGACGCTGTGTGCTTCGTTGTGAAAGCGAAACTACTTTGTTTGGTCTTCCAAAAGAGGAAGATATCCGCTTCGTCATGCCTAGAGCTGATCCGTGCTGGTCGCTGAGGGAATACATCAACTTAGTGCTGTGGATCACCGGCACATTTTATGGAGGACTGTTTACTGATCCTGGGAGAGTACCGTTAGACTAAAATGCCGGCAGTTCTGACTCACGTAAGTACATTTTCTTTTATCATTTGCCACTGATGATTCAAACGCGAGTTTTGGGCAGTGTGGAGTAGCACTTGTCCGTCATTTCTCCGATCACAAACGTTTTACTTTAAACCGCATAAACACATTTCATTACACCAAATACACAAAATAATGTTCTTTTTAGCAGCATCATATGACCCCTTTAAAATAATCTTTATTTTCTATAGCACCTTTAAATGTTACATCTCAAATTGATTTACATAAATAAAACAAGACAAATGAACAAAAATACAAAAATAGAGTATTTTATCTTTCACTTAGCTGTAATTCAATGGTTTTTTCCTTTACTACTCGGCAAAATGCTCATGGTAAACAACTCTGCAGTGTTGACTTCAAAAAATGCACTGTAAGTCACTACACTCTATGAAATGCAAGACATGAAAAGTAAATAACAGAAGACCACCAATGATTTCAATAAAACTGTTTATTGCGCTTTTTGTTTTTTCTTCTTTTTTCCTTCTTTTGTGGAGCTGCTTTCTTCTAGAATCACCTCTTCTCCTGGTAGCCTCACTCTTTTACCTTTGGCTGGCTTCGGGAGCACCACAACAGCTGTTTGGAGAACACGGATATTAATACGTTTTTCCCTTGACAACTATTTCAACTCTTTTAACATGTAATTATGGTTACTGCTCTAATTCAAATCACACAGCACTCTGGATTGTTTTTGGACACACTCAACAAAAATTAAAGTATTTACAAAAATAAAAATTCTGTCATTATTTACTCACCCTCAATTTGTTCCAAACCTGTAAAAGTTTCTTACTTCTGTTGATCACAAAAGATGATGGCTGTGTCCGTAATCGCCCCCTATACCCTCATTCACTATTCCCTATATTAGGGGACACCACTAAAAATGGCTGTTCCCTCAAATAGTGCCCTATTTAAGGGTATAGGGGGCGATTTCGGACACAGCCGATGTTTTGAAGAATGTTGGTAACCAGACAGCTGCTGGTAGACAAAATAATGTTATGAAAGTCAATGGCTACCAGCAACTGTTTGGTTACCAGCATTCTTCAAAATATCTGCTTTTGAAAGAAAGAGACTCATACAGGTTTGGAACAAATTGAGGGTGAGTAAATAATGACTTTTCATTTTTGGGTGAACTATCCCTTTAAGGTGAGATCATATTAGTGAATTTTCAGCTATATTTCGCAGACTAAAAAGGTCTATATTGTCAAGCTCACACAGAAGTCACTCTCAAACCAAGCAGCTTTCTGTCGGTCAAAGCATCAAATTCATGTGACCAACTTGAACCCGTTGCAAAATCTTCTCGAAATTCCCACTAGGATGGATTCCTATTGAAACGACTGGATTTTTCCTGTGAAAATTGGCTGAAACCCTGATAAATGTAACCGCACCTATAGAAGCTTCAGGCTGGGCAGATTGTTCAGTACTCGTCTCTTTCGCTTCACCAGGTTTCCAGATGGAAAGACAGGTGAGTCTGGCAGTGGTGTTCACCTGGCCAAGCAGGGAAGGAGTCTCAAGGTTCTGTATGTGGAAAGAGCGAGTATAAAATACTGATCAACCAAAATGAAACCATCAGGCCAAATTATTTTTATGTCTAAAATGGTTCAGCTCAAGGCTAAAAAAAACACTTGTGTCTGTGTGTTACAGTTACTAGCAAAGAAGATCATACAATACCTCAAGATTGAGTTTCCACAACTTAATGAATCCATCATTTGATGCCGTAACAAGGACACAAAAATCATCCTTCATGAAGCTCTCAATGGCTTTTACTCTGGGCGGAAAAAAACATTAAATGAATTAGGGATGTTCATTTCGGTTATTTTTCCTAACCGACAACCGACGCTCGGTAACCGATTGTTAACCGTTAACCGACAAAGATTATTTTAAATTAGAATTGAATTAAATTAGAAAGGATACGTGTCTGTGACCCATTAAAAATACTAACATTTGTTTCCCGGGGATTCATTTTACATGCGCAAAAAGCAGCAAACAACAGAACATGAGGATTCACATGGCCATCATATCACATCATGCACCTGCATCGCTTCTGCGAGGAGAAAAACATAATAAAGCTATGCTATATATATATATAGACCTTCTATATTTTGACCAGTTCAGCAGATGAAGCATTTGTGGCGATGTCTTTAACATCAGGAAATCTGAGCTGGCCTCTAGTAGTTTGTTTGCCCAGGTCACACAGCGGTCAGTCACGGTCTCTGATGTCTTCTTTACTTATATATATATATATATATATATATATATATATATATATAAGAAACATATTTTTAATTAAATTATAAATTAAGAAAATGTAAGAAAAACAAGTAGCCTAGTATGCGGTGTTTCAGTTTATTTTTGTGCGGCGCGAAAGGAAACAGACAGCAGAAAGCGGCATCCTATTTTTCTTTAGGCTTATTTTACAAAAGCACAAAGATTTGTTTTTATTGTGAATGTACACAAATAAAGGCAAACCTTTTACAATTCCGATTATATTTAGGATTAAAAGGAGTAGTTGCTTCCACTGTTAGAAGGAAAAAATTAAAGTGATTGCGCCAGCGCCGCATGCGCGCACACAGTTAAGCATTGCAACCTTGACAGTGCAGCCTGTTCATTATCATAATAAAATGCAGTCAGTCAAACATATGTAAAAAAAACGATGTAGTAAAAAAATATGTAGTAAAATCTGTGCCGTTAAGTGTTATCACCATACCGCCGTGATGTTATGCAAAACATTTTGTTTTACGTGGATATTGGAAC